GTCTCTGTCTTTCTGGCGAGCTCATGGGCCCTATAGCAAAGACCTCTCCAAAAAATAAAAAAGGTAAAAATGGTGAAGTCTTTATTAAATGAACTTGCACAGAAAACTTCACCTGTTACATCAATTTTAATTCCCTGAGTTGAAGACTTGTCCCTCAAAGAACATGGAGCAAAACTGCATTTTCCTGGAACTATGGCTACTCCACTACCTGGGGCAACCACCCAAGGCCACAAGAGAAACATCACTTTATTGTAAACCAGCATTTCCAATCCAGATAGCAAAGCAGAGTGCTTGCAGATGGACCTGAGAGACAATCAACAAAGCTGGGATGAGCTTTGGTCCCTGACACCCTTGCATCAGTGAAAACACAACTGAAACAAGTATGTTCTAGCCTCTTGTTTTTGCCACTGAGCAGACCAGCAGGCACCCTTGTGCCCTGCACAGCACATTCCCAGGACATTGTTTCTCTGCCACCTACAACACGGACCAAGGGCCTGGGAGGGCTCCTTAGAGCATCTGCAGGGCAGGCATAGAACATCCTGATTCTAGTCATGAGGGGCAGAATGAGGTCACGTCATTCCCTCATCACCTAAGATGTGAGTCCCACATACGTGGACATTTGGTTCTTGTCCAGGGACTCTGGTCCTTCCTCTCCCTCAGCTCAGGGGTTGCCATTCAGCAGCAGGCCAGAACAGGAAGGTGCTACTCACTGGGACAGCAGCCAGTCTCTCAGTCAGGTGGTACCCTCTGGTGGGTACTGAGGAGGGTAAGCTCCTGTCCTCTAAGGCACCAATTTGGAAGGAGCAGAAACCAGGGCTTCACAGGTTGGAAAGTGAGTCTCCACCCCCTGCTGGCCATCAAGGGTGGGTCAGGAGGAAGCTCACTGGCTGAGGCTGACAGCACCCTGTGCTGGCTGTCCAGGACAATGCAGAATTAGGTTCATTGCTTAGTGCAGGACAAGCACCCTATTTCAGCTGTCCTGTGGAATCAACAAATTTGAGATTTGAATGCTTGTCTATAATTAGGATTCCAGAGACCTGGGCAAGACCTAGAGTGCTCTTGATGCAGGCATCCAAGGTTATTACTGAAATAATAATAAGGTCACACCATTGGACTGAGGAAGGGTGTCCAAGACCTAGCCGAGAAACCAATGGATTCAGGATGTTGCTAACCAAGGTCAAACGAGATGAGAGCTGATTGCACAGGACTGATCGTAGTGAGGATTATAAATATATGGATCTTTACTCAAAAATTGCTCATTTCCAGGGCCAGCAAGTGGTGTGGTGGTGAAGGAACTCACCACACAGCCTACTGTGGTTCAAGTCCTAGACCTGCTGGCTTGAAAATCATGCTGGGTGTGTACATGCTCCCAAAATCCCAGGAGACCAGAGAAGGAACTGCAGTGTGGCCATACTCCCCTGGGGGGTGATCTATTATGTTCCCTCTGTCTCTCTCTGGTGCATGCACACATCCTATAGCAAAGAAAAAAACTTAAAATTGCTGGTTCCCTAATATTCTATTTTCTTGATTTAAGAAACTCCTTTCTCTTCTAAAACAATAATTGGTAGCAATTTAATAGATTTAACTTTCATAAACAGAAGCACACATTTATGCTGTCATTTGCATATGTGCAAGTTCAATAAGAATCTGCTTGTCTTGTAACAGGACCTAAATGGAAAAAAGTGTCATATATACAAGGATTTAATGTTAACATGTTTCATAGTGATGCACATAGGACCAGTTATGAGCAGATGATTTTAGGAGATAAAGTTGACTTCACAGAGCCAATGCTTACAAAGCCCCTGGATAGGGGCTAAGACAGCCTGATACCTAAATTACAAGGTCCCCAGCCTTACAGGGCAACAAGGTCAATTCCTGGCCATCCTGGGAATCTCAGGATATTCTGGATATTTCCAAGGACCCAAGAAAAAAAGAAATTCACCAAAATCTACAGGTTCTATGGTGAAGTTTGGTGGCAAGTTCTTGACATGTCTTTCAAGCCTAAATAAGGCATTTAAAAGTTCATCTGAGACATGCTGTAATGGTATAGAGTAATTTAAAAAAAAAAAAAAAAAAAAAAAAAGAGAGAAGAAAAACAGGAAGGGAAAAAAAAAAAAAAAAAAGGTTCCTTCTGAGTTTTCTTAATCAGGACCAGAAGTGGCATGGTGATTAAAGGAACTGGACTCCCATACGGTCAACTGCAGTTCAAGTCTTGGATCCGATTACTTGAAACTGATGCCATATGCACTGGGCACTGTATAGGACCTAAGCTAATATGCCACTGACCACTTGACCTCCATAAGCCCCCACTCTACCTGGTGGCCCACAGTGGTGCAAGTCTAGTAGCTACCACTTGGTCTTTCCTACCATGGCAGCCAACAGTGCAGGTTCCAGCGACCCAGTGTCTTGAAAAAACACTGGGAATGTGTGTGAGCATGCCCAAAATCCCAAGAGAATGGAGGATGAAGCTTTAGATCCACACCAATATTTAAAATGAAAGCAGTATCTGCTATGGACAAATCATGTAACTCATGAAGACTAAAATGAATGAAATCTAAATTGGCCACCTAAAATATAATGGCATTGAGTACATAAATTTGGAGTAAATGATGGTATAGTTTATTCCTTCCAGCATTATGTGAAGTCACTAGATTGAGTTCATTAAAAAGAGTTGTAATTACAGAGAAAAGCAAGATGGAGTTGTGCATATTGATTAGAGATGTTATTATGCAGGAGGCAAAGTCACCTAAAGGTAAAGCTGAAATGCTACAGTTCACTGGGACCTTAGAGGTAAGAGAAAAAAAATTGAAAGCCTTAAGTGAGGCAAGCCAAGACAGTGGTTTATGAAGTCCAAATTACACAAGCATCTTCACTTACCTGGCAAATAACCACATCCTAGGGCAACATTCTGAAACATCTACTGCAGACAGCAAGTCACATGACCTTACTGTGGATTCACCTTGAGCAAAGATACAGGAGGGTGGGTTTTTATGAAAGAGGGTGAAGCCCTAAGGAATGGACAATTTGTGAGGATTGCATTTCCAGTAAGGTTTCTGGGTGCTAGAACATTTTCATATTTCCACTAATAATTTCCACTCAATACAGAGGAGCAAATGGCACTGCAAGATATACCTGTTCTACTTGTTACCTAGAAGGAAATCCAAAATGGGAAGTCTGTCCACCAGGAGCCATGTACATTAATGACAGCAGCAGACACCTCTGCCCTGCCTATGCTCACCAAAGCAGTCAACTGATGGATCATCAAAAAGTTCATGGGATGTGTATACATGAAAAAAAAAAGGGGGGGGGAATTCATATGTTCATTCCATTTTTCCACAGACTTTCTGAAGTCCCCTCATAGACCCGAAGTCCACAGGATCTTCCTTCCCAGTCGGCACATTCATGATGGAGTAAAAAGAAAAAGCAAAAAACTGTTTCTGATCCAAACAGGTCTGGGCTAGCCGTGGTGATGCAGCCACTTAGTGTAGCTGTGTGTAACTGTCCTCCCAGCTAACTGGTAGGCTAGGAAGGATGGGGACAAGGTGAGACCCTGTCTCTGCCTGTCTTTCCCTTCCTCAAAAAACAATAATGTCTAGGAACAGCTAAACTGACCCCAGTATTACAATGCTGGCTACACAAAAGAATCCTGTGACACTAAAGGCCTTACGGTTTAAATGAAGCAGTCAGTACAGGCAACCACTGGGATTAAAACACCTGTAATATGTCAAAGTGCACAGATAAGGTTGTTCACAGAATGCCCAATATAGTATTTCTCTAATTTACTTGACCATAGAACTCAGTGAAAAAAAAGCTTAGAAAATGCTGCTCCAGAAATGAAAACTAGCATGAAGGGCCTTCATGAAAAATGTATATTATGACAAAAACCATAAAAAGATCTCAAAATCTTTTCACGTGAAAATAAATTTGTGCTGTAATTCCATTTTTACAAATTTTATGAAGTCTCTTCATATGTTGAATACAAGTGGAAATAGGGAACAAAATTTGGGTATCATACGATAAAAATTAGACAAAAGAAAACACACATGAAGATGCTGCCAACATGAACATCATTTTAATTTGATGGATACGCATTTGACAAAATACCTTAGAATAAAATAATCCATAAACAGGTACAAGGTATTTACAGTAACAACTATGAAAAACATTAAATTGGTATATTTTACAAAATGGTCTATTTATAAATGTTTCTATTGTGATCTGGAAGACTTTAAGTTCCTACTCATTCTACTGCCCTTAAGCCCCAATTGGTGACATGTAAGGCACAGGAGTAGGAGATACAAGCTCTAACACATTTGGCAATTCAGAATCATGTCAGTGTGAGCTGGCAGGGAAGCAAAGAGCCAGGTTTCAGTAAGGTACTGAGTGGAAGACTCCACTGGAAACAACTAAGGACAAGAATGACCTAAAATCACACTAATCTTTCCCCTAAGTCTCCAGTAGGAGGCTGCAAACTGTTATAAAGAACTACTCAATTTTCTTCATTGGCAGAAAATCAGCAACCCTGAGACTCTTAACTTTCAAAGCATATAAAAGCTAATAAACATCTACAAAATGTTCAAGATTTATAAACTAATTTTACATGATCAAATAGAAAATAACTCTGATGATCTGAAAATATAAAGGGAACAAAGTTTTTCTCAAATTTTATGCCTAATTTTTAAATATTCCAATAATTTCCACCATCTAAAATTGGTTTAATGTACACACACAAAGATACACTTTAACTAGATGTTTGGAATACATTTGCTCTTGATTAAGTGGAATGTCTACCTACTTGAAAGAAATGAGAAGTTTTATCCATCTCCTATAGTAGAAATTTATTTACAAGACAGTCACATAAACCATGAAAAAAAAAAAAAAAAACAAACCCAAATATCTATTCTTTATGACACTACTGAAACAAACACAGTACACCATACACATCAACTTCTACTGATCCTACCAGGCTATTTGGTAAGTTATTACTTTCAAAAAATGAAAGTTTTTGACAAACGACTTTGTAGAGCAAATATTCAGTTTAAAAGTCACATTTGCTGCTCCTCAAGTGGTGTTTCAAGAGCTTCCATTAGCTTTTTATTTGCTTCTTCATTGTGCCGACTTTGGCAATGAGTTAAATGTTTCTTAAAGCCTCTTGGGAAATTGGATTCAAAATTACAACGTGGACACTTAAGTAAACTTTGCCCATGGGCTGCTACATGATTTTTAAGAAGAGATTCCAAAAGAAAAGCCTTTCCACAAATTGTGCATTTGTAAGGACTATGAACATTATGTTTATTAACCAAATGATGCAAAACAGCACCTTTTTTCATAGCACGACAGCAACAAATTTTGCAATAATACTTTCCTTTTCCACGTTTCATATATTTTGCAATTTCTTCTTCAGAGATAAAAGCTTCTTTTTCTTCAGTAAATTGTAGTACATTTTTGGACTGCTCTGGACTTGCCAATTCCATTTTGCTCTCTTTGCTGAAATCAATAGATTCCACATCAACCTGCTCTTGATCACTGCTTGATTCTTGGCCCTTAATATCTATCGCATCTAAATCTGTTTTTATATACTCACTGCTACTGAGCTCAGCATCTGAGTTCTCTTGGTTGTCCTTCTTGAGCTTCTTAGAGGAAGGAAATAAAGTGTCTTCTAAGAGTTTCTTAGGTGTGGCTATAAGTTCATCCTGAACTAAAATATCACACTTTTGATCATCTATGGCATCTATTTGTAGTTCATCAGCAAGCTCAACTGTCTTCTGAGATTCTGAGAACATAGCAGATTTGGGGAGTTCAGGGAAAAGAGCGTGTTTCCGGGGTTCTGGAAAAAGAGCACGTTTTCGTGATTCTGGAGAAACAGGAGGGGCTGATTTGGTAGGTTCAGGAAACAGAGCAGGTTTTCTAGGTTCAGTATCAATAGAGAGAACAGGCTTCCAGATATCTGAGGCTGTTTTGGGGGACTCATTAGATGACCCAGAAGGACCTGGTTTCCGGGTCTCAGGGAAGACAGTAGGTTTCTGAGGTTCAATAAAAAAGGAAGACTTCCAAAGATCTGGAGAACCACTACAGGAACTTTTCTGGGACTCAGGAAAATCAAATGAAGCAGGAGAAGTTTTCCGTTGGTCAGGAGAAAGCTTCCAAAGGTCTGGTGACCCTGAGGGTTTTCTGAGTTCTGGAGAGCCTGCTGGACTTCGGATCTCTGGGGATAGTGGTGGGCCTGGTTTGCGAAGCTCAGGAGACACTGAGGGAACTGCCTTCCAATGTTCAGGCGACATGGTGGGAGCTGTCTTTCGGAGTTCTGGTGGGCCAGACTTCCATGACTCAGGAGATGCCGGGGGAGATTTCCAGGAACCAGGTGAGATTGACGAAGACTTCCAGGAAGCAGGGGACACAGATGAAGCTGGTTTCCAAGGCCCAGGTGATATAGAAGGAATTGGTTTCCAAGGTCCAGGAGATACTGATGGAGCTGGTTTCGCTGGTTTCCAAGGCCCTGAAGATGCTGAAGGACTGGATTTCCAAGGCCTAGGGGACCCCGGTGGTCCTGGCTTCCAAGAACCTGGTGACACAGCTGGAGCTGGTCTCCTAGGCTCTGGAGAGACAGCAGGGAATGGCTTCCAAGGTTCAGGAGACTCTGAAGGGGATGGCTTCCTTGGCTCTGGTGACACAGTGCGGGCTGGCTTCCGAGATTCTGGAGATGCAGTTGGGGAAGGTCCCCAGGGTTCAGGGGAAGTGGCTAGAACAGGAGACTCTGGAGATGAAGCTGAAGGCGGCCCCAATGATTCAGGAAAATGGGAGTGTTTCTGAGGTTTAGGATGAATAAGAGTTGCCTTGACTGACTCAGGAGACACAGGGGCAAGTTTCTGTGGTTCTGGAGAAGGATCAGGGACAGGTTTCTGAGATTCAGAAACAGGAACTGTTTTTGGAAGTTCAGAAGAAAGAGAGGCAGGTTTTGAAGACTCAGGAGAAGGAAGAGACAGTGTCTGTAACTCAGGAGGAACAAGGGAGCCAGGTTTCTGAGGCTCCATGGGAGTGAGAGGAGTAGGTTTTGGTGATTCTGGAGACAAAACAGGACAAAGTTTCTGTGTTTCCAGGGAAGGGGCAGGCATGGGTTTCAAAAGATCTGCTGAATTTGAGGGTATTTTCTGGTGCTCAGGAAGAGGGCTTTTCACGGGATCTGTTTCTTTGTTCAACTGATTTTTTGAGTTATCGTTCCATTTCTCTGGTGCTGCATGCTTGGACGTGATGTGGTAGTATACATTTGAGTACATCTTGCTGGTGAAGAAGCATTTATGACAGTGAAATAGCTTTGCACTTTTCTGGTAAAATATCATTTTCCCTAACCCACCAGCATCCATTTCATCACAAAATTCTGGATGGAGGGTGCCCATATGGATTTGTACATTTTCATAGTCTGTGCCTCTGAAACTGCAATGGTCACATTCCAATCGTGCTGTCGGTTTACGAAGTTCCTGGAATACTTCCATTTTTCTGTTATGTGCACGATTATATTCTTTAAAAATGTTCAATATTGCTGCAATAAAGTAAAAGTAAGTTATTTTCATGGAACATAATTTTATGAATAAAATTAGTCCATTTTACAAATGCATAATTTTACGTCTAAAGTGACATTTACTATTATTTTGCTTTATTAACTAAAGATGAATAAATAACAGAATTCAATCTAGTCTACTTAAGGCTAAGAAACTTGAAATCCCCTTCAGGAAGTACAAGTTATGAAAAAAATGGCATTTTTTTACCATGATGCTGTATTAATATCAACATATTTTATGTTGTTTTATCCATCTCTAAGTATTTTGTTCATTCATTAAGTAAATGGATTGTTTCATGTCTTATGATAGTCTATGCACTTGGATTTAAAACAAAGCACTGCAATATGGCACTTACATAGGTTGGGGAGATGATAATGTGGAAAGCAATGTAGAGAGGCTATTAGGAAAGACCTATGAGTAAGACACACTAGCTGAGGGGCCAATAGGTGGCATGGTGGTTAAGGCACTGCATTCATACGTGGCTGACCATGACTTGAGTCCTGGACAGGGAGGCTTGAAAATCACACTGGGTGTATGTGCATGTGTGCCCCAAATCTCAAGAATGGAGAAGGGATTGAAGTATGGCTATTCCAATCCCATGGGGAGTATTTCTCACTTCCCCTCTCTGTCTCTCGTGAGCACATGCACACTATGGTAAAACCTTGGGTAGAGAGAACCTCTAGCAAAGATCATGGATGACATGAAGGAGTATACAGCACACAAAGGATAATTCAAAGAAATGACACAGTTGAGGCCAGATTTAGTTGCCAAAAAAGATGACTTTTTAAAACTTTAAGTCAATGTTCTGTTTTCTAGTTTTTGGTACAGGGCACATGTGCTTGCAGGGGTAGGGGGTAATAAAAAAATCACCATCTCCATGAAGGATGGCCACACCATAATCCCTTCTCTTCCAGTATCCTCTAGGGGTTTGGGGCACATATGCACATGTGCCTGGTGTTTTCTCCAAGCTGCTGGGACTGGAACTTGAACCATGCAGCCAGCAATATAATATAGGATCCAGCACCTAAATTTCTATGCCACCTGCAGGCCCTAGGCCAGTACTCTTAAGTGGTAAAAATAATAGAAATACACAGTTTAAAACACTCATTCATGGGCCAGCAGGTGGTGTGGAGGTTAAGCTGCATGGTTAGAGTCCTGGATCCAGAAGCTTAAAAATCAGCCTGGGCACATGTATATACATTCCCAAAATTCTAAGAGAAGGGACTGTAGTGTGGCCATCCCTCTTGGGGGGTGATTTCTCTCTCTTTTTCCCTCTCTCTCGTGAGTACATACATCCTATAGCAACACTAAAAAAACAAAAACTCACTGAATCAAAATACAGTATCATTCCCCAAGGGAAGCCAATATACTATGTATCTACTGAAAAAATGTTTCAGGCATATACCATTCCATACACACATTTCACATAAATGAAATTCTATTAAACATATTATTTAACAACTAGCTTTAATAATTTATTTAGGAAATTTTTACATAGATTAAACACTGAATTACCTTTGTACCTATCACTGTATGTGAGGGTATTTCTGCACATTACCTGATGCAAGGCTATTTGCATTTAAAATTGATATAGTTTACCAAACTCTCAAAAGCTGTAATACTATTACATACCAACAGTGTACATATGAGGGATAACTGCCCAACTCCTTCATCAACACCAAGTATAATTATATTCCTAATCCTTGTTATACTTAGGTAAAGACTGATATGTTTTACTGTGCTTTTCTTTAATGAAAAAGATGGAACACTTTCCTTTATTTGCTATGTGTCTCTGTTCCTATGAAGTGCTGGTTCAACTATTTTTATTAGTGACTTAAAAATAATCCTCGTAGGGAACCAGCAGTTAGCGTAATGGCTATGTCGCTGGACTCCCACATAGTCGACCACGGTTCGCGTCCCGGACCCAGTGGCTTAAAACTCATGCCGGGCACGTGTGCGTGCGTGCCCAAGATCCCAAGAGGAGAATGGAGAAGGGATTGTGGGGTGACCATCCCCCTTGGGGGGTGATTTCTCGCTTTCTGTCTCTACATCTCTCTCTGTCTGTCTGGCAAGCACACACGCCCTATAGCGAAAATCTCTTCAAATAAATAATAATAATCCTCGTACGGCTGGCAGGTAGTGCAGTGGTTAAGGGCACTGGATTCCCAGATGGCCAACTGTGGTTCAAGTCCCGGACCTGGCAGCTTGCTTTCTCACTCCTCCTGCCTCACTCTCACTCTGTTCCTCTCTAGTAGAATTAAAAAATTAATTAGATAAAATCATCCTTTAAAAATAATAACCATCATCTTTGTATATAAAAGACATAAGCCCTTTTACTGAAATTATTTTATCATGTCTCTTTATTTATATGTATTTTTTTAACTACATACAATTGGTTCACATACAAATTAAAAACTAAAAGACTTTTTCACTCTGGGTTTTAAGTATGCTTCCTATTTCATTATTTTTATAATTACTTAGTAATTTTTCTTGCTTTTTAAAATTATTTTTAGAGATATTTTTGCTACAGGGTGAACGAACTCACCAGAGACAGAGAGAAAGTGAGAATTCACTCCCTAGGAGGATGGCCATGCTGCAATCCCTCTTCCTCCATGCTCTTTCAGGATTTTGGGCACACATGCACACACAGCCGGCATGAGTTTCAAGTCTCTGGGTCCAGGGCTCGAACTGCAGTTGCCTATAATTTCACTTTTACTTTTTTTTTTTTTTTAACTGGAGGACAAATGCATTTGCCAGAGAGAGAGACGGAAGGAAGGAAAGGAGAGAGGGAGATGGAATAGGAGAACCTCCCTCCCATGATAAATGGTCATGCACTATTCTCTCTCCATCTCTCCCTCCTTCCAGGATGCTGGGGCCCAGCAAGTTTCTCAAGTCACCAAGTCCAGGACTTGAGCCACCCAGTTTGCCAAATGGTATCCAGCTACCTTAACCACTATGCCATCAAGCTAGCTGGCCCTATTTATGAATTTTTGTTTTTTAATTTTTGCCACAGGGCATGTGTCCCTGCCGGAGAGAGATAGAGAAAGTAAGAAATCATCCCTTGGGGGGTGGCCATGCCAAAGTATCTTCTCCTCCATTCCCCTCTTAGGATTTTTGGCACATGCGCACATGTGCCCAGCGTGTCTTCCAAACTGCTGGATCCAGGACATGATCTACAGAATTGGCCATGTGAAAACAACTATGCCACTTGATGGCCTATATTTGTATTTTCAATTCATCTGATGTTAAGGACTGTGGGAGGGATCCAGCTTATTTTTTTCACTCCAAGTCAGTGCACAATCTTTTTCTTCACCAACATGCAATATTCCATATAGCACTTACTGAATTTCGTGTATGATTTTATTCTGGACTCTCTGATTCTTCACTATTTCCATTTCTACTTCTCACACTTCCAGTTCTCTCCAACTTCCATTTCTGATAAGCCATTCTCAGTGAGCCCCTATAACTGCTAATCCACTTCACCAAGTGAATTTTTTTCATTAAATTACACTGTATCACTTACCAAAAGTGCCAGCCATTAATGACAGCATGTAACATGTTTTTTTTTTGCTAATAATAATGACAGGGTAAAGATATATTCTTTATACATTACTGTTCCTCAAGTAAAAGATTAGAAATACTTAAATCACAGGATCACCTTTAATTAATTTCAAAACTTTAAAAATACTTAAGTTCTAATATTGATAACCTCTATTTTTTAAAAGATGCTATTACTAAGCACATTGTTTCCTATCACCTGTATTAGCAGTATATAAGGGTTTTTTTGTTTTGGTCTAAAGTTTAAGAAAACAACAAACCACAAAACCTAATCAAGAAAACAAGTGCTTGTCTTCAGATAGTATTAATTCCTGAATTACTCCTGAATTATGTTGTCTTTTAGAAAATTGTTTTTAGAGTCAGTAGGACTATAACGAAAATAAATATAATAATTTAGTACTGAAGAAAAACCTAAAAAGCAGCCTTTAACTTACAAACATCATTTAAAAAGCATAGAACAGAAGGATTAACCATCCACCTCAGAGCCCAATGTTCAAAAAATGTAAAAGACTTTAAAAAAAAAAAAAAAATCAGTGCCTCAATAATCCTACCTGGGAACAGAATGGTGTCATAACTGGAAAATGTGGTGCTTTGTGAGGCTAACCCACACAGGAAGGTTCTGGGTTTCCACATGGGACCTCCCTTAATATGCTGGTGTGTCATGTGCCCATTATTTGGGGCTGGATTGTGGTGTGAAGACACAGTTTGGGGGCCAGCAGGTTGCATGGTGGTTGAGGGTGCTGGACTCCCACATGGCTGACCACGGTTTGAGTCTCAGACCTGGTGGCCTGCTTTCTCATTTTTTCCCTCTCTCGCTCTCACTCTGTTCAAATTAAAAAAAAATAATTTAAAAAAAACAAAAAGATCTAGTTTGGGGTGCTGCTCTGTTTCTCATTCATAGAAAAAATAAACTTTTAAAGAAAAAAATCTTATCTGGCCATAATGGCAGTAACAGCCAGAAGACACTAATATTTAAAAAGGCATTGTAGGGGCCAGCAGATGGTGTAATGGTTAAGGGTGCTGGACTCCCACATGGCCGACTGTGGTTTGAGTCCGGGCCCTGGCGGCTTGCTTTCTCACTTTCCTTCTCTGCCCCTCTCTCTCTGTCCCTTTCTGATCAAATTTAAATAAATAAAGTTAAATAAAATAATTCTTTAAAAAAATAAAAAGGCATTATATTATACATAGGCATTATAACAAATTAAGAGCTCAGGCTTGTGTATCAGACTTAGGGACCATTCTCTCTCTTTCTCAAGTCCCCCACCTCCTCTACCTACCACAACTCTCCTGGCCAATAAAAGTTTCAACGACCCATGCCTCCCACTACCAATCCTCATTACTATACTCTAATAACCTCTTTAAAAAAAATAACTTTCTGGAATACTACAGACTTCGCTTTTCATATCCCAAATTCTGACATAGATTTGTATATCTAGCATACATAATGTAAATATATTACTCTGTAAATGGGCATGTATGCTTTCATAGTTTTTTCTCAAGAGTTCCAAGCACTTTTTAGAAATTTTTTCATCATAAAATATTCTCTTAAACATTAAAATTTGGCTTATCCCTACTACTTACTATTTTAGCAGATGCCTTAAAACTCGTCTTCAAAGGACAGGAAATCTACATGGCTTTTCAACTAAACCACAAAAAATAGTGTACAGCATATAAAAGACAAAACATTGAACCTGGAAGGGGGGGAAGAAAGTCAAAATTATATCTGTGTGATAACTTGTGGCCACAGAAAAAAAAGCCAAGTTTTGTTTTTTGGGTGTTTTTTTTTTCTTTTTCATTTTGGCCAAAGGACATGTGCACTTGTGGGAGCGACAGAGGTTAGGGTGGGCCACACTGTAAACCTTTCTTCTCCATTTTTCCTTGCTTTGCAGATTTGGGGCACATACATATGAACACACGCTCAGGGAGGTTTTCAAGCTGCCAGATCCAGGACTAAAACTGAGCAGTCGGCCACATGGAATCCAACCACCTCAACCACTACTTGGCTCAAACAGCAAGCATTTCTCTCACCATCCTGCACTCTCAGTGGGAGATCCAATCCAAAAATCCTGGGCACTTACTTTAATGCAACAGAGACTGCAGTAGATGCCACTCATGATAAGGTCCTTGTCAAAATTCATCTTAATGCATTGTAGGGGCCAGCAGGTGGTGTAGTGGTTAAGGTGCTGGACTCCCACATGGCTGACCACAGTTCCAGTCTCAGACCTGGCAGCTTGAAAATCACGCTGGACATGTGTGTGTGCATGCATGCCCAAAATCTGGAGAAGGGATTATGGCATGGCCATCCTCCCAGGGCGGGTGTGTGTGTATGTGTGTATATGTGTGTGTGTGTGTGTGTGTGTGTGTGTGGCTTCCCACTGTCCCTCTCTCTGAATGTCTCTGTCTGTCTCCTCTCCAGTGAGTGTATGTATCCTATGACAAGAACCTAAAATAATTTTAAAAAATAAAACTAATGCACTGTGGGATTATGCCATCTGTCTAACCAAACCTCCTCAATCCACCCTGAGCTTATATATTCAGGGAAGGTACAACCCACATTTTTAGTTCTCTGATATTCACTCACAAGACCGCTGATATGACTGTACTTTAAGAGCAGGTGATGTTTTGTCAGTAATCAATATTACACAGCAGAGTGCAAATGAACATTCAGTGAATAAAGGGACAATAATCAACAGGACAACGGGCAAAAAGGGAAGAGGATTCTGGGAGGAGGCACAATGGTGGTGCTAAGATTCTAAGTAGGAATGAATGGATGCTTCGGTGACCACCCTGGCCTCTACTCTTCTCACATACATTCCCAAAAGAAAGTATCACAGTCTAAGTTTGTTAACAAAAAGAAAATAGGTTAAACGGGCCATGTACAAACTGGCAAATAGCTCACAATGTACTTCTGATAAACTCCAACGCTTTCATCTACCCCATGCTCTATTCCCTGTGGGCCTTTAATTCTGGCATCTGATTCCATGTATAATTTCTAGTCTCCCAGTATAAGATGTGAACAAGGTAGATAAAGCTCTTCACTCTGGCCATTGATTACACTGTACTCTCACATGGAAAATTCCCCAATGTTCGAAGCTTCTGAAATGTTGCACAAGCTACTTCCTTTCCTCTACACTTCCTACCTTGCCACCCAGTCACAGACCACAGTCCTCCATTCTTCAGGCAAGATGCCTTTTTAAGTACTGGCCAATTCTCCACTCCCTCCCTATCTTCCTTGGACCCCAAGCTCTGTGTAAACTTTAAACAGTTGTCAGTCTCTGCACTACAGCCCGAGTCCACCCAGGCTTGCAGAGAGCAGGGATTATCCATTCATTCATTCATCTCTGTCACTCTTGCACATTCATGGCACAGTATGTGCTCAGAAAATATATGTTCAATCTTATCATTTTCTCATGAAGACTAGGGAGTCAATCTTAGATTTACAATCTTAGATTTTAAAACTAGAGGAAGTCTGAGCAGCACCTGGGGGTAAGGTAAGACCTTGGGGATCTTCTACTTTAAAACTCACTTTAGGGACCAGCAGATGGCATAGCAGTTATGTTCTGGATTCTCACATGGTCTACCATGGTTTAAGTCCTGGGCCCAGTGACTTGAAAGTCACACCAAGCATGTGTCCATGTGTCCAGGATTTTGGGAGAATGGAGAAAGGACTGCAGCATGGCCATAGCGCCTTGTAGAAAGGTGGTGAGTTCTCACTTTCCCTCTCACTGTGTCTGTCTGTCTCTCTCTCTCCAATGATGAGCATATACACCCTAAGGCAAAAAAAAAAAATCTCTTAAAAAAATAAAAACAAAAAACTTCACTTTATACTTAAAAGAACTTAATTAAACAGCTTGCTTCAAGACAAACAAATGATCACCATATGACAAAGAACAGAATAAAGTTCTACTATCTAAGTTCTTTCTGATGTATCATGATCAACTTGTAGAACAGAATTTGGCAAGATTTTGAAAAGCCATTTGTAAAGTGGACCAAAATCAACAAGATGAAATTTACTAAACATTTGGAATCCACATGATCAATTGGATTATGGAGAACTGAACAGCATTTCCCAAACTAGGCTAAGTATCCCAGTGGATCACTGTTTGGCTATGGGCAGGAACAGCATCTTAAGAGAGTCTCCTAACAAATGAGAGAACACACAAAAGGAAGTAACCAGGACAGCAGTCTTAAAATGTGTGTTATTTTTAAGTACATTTAACTTCAAAAAGAAAAGTATGGATAAGTAACAAAGTGGAAACCAGCAGGAAAACCGCCTTCGTCAACAGTTCCATTAACCCCTCCCTCATAAATTAGAACAACTACTCCATCAGGTAGCAGAGCTCACAAGAAGCTCACTAGAAGCCAGTGGCTGGGAAAGGACTATAAGGGTGCTCAGAAGACTTTGAGTGCGACCTTTTCATTTCATAACTGAGGAAGTGATGCTGGGAGAGAGAGGTAACTCGTCAAAGATGCTAACAGTCAGGTCACAAGAACCAAGAGACTCTGGTTCTAGATTGCTGCTATAACACAATGCAGTCTTTCCCACAGCAGTTCAACAACCCACAACGTTACAGAACTGAATCCAGAATTCAGCTCCAGGCAGAGGCTAGACCACTGAGATTCCCTCTAGCTTTTAACATTCCAGCAAACCTTTTCTTTAAATTTCAGAGCTCCTAAGCTTAAAAGAACTCTAAACTGTCCAGATCTAAAAAAAACTCTTACCTACATTTTGCCTCTACAGCCTACATCTTGTCTCTAAAACACAGTTCTAACTACTGGTGCTCTACAAGCCCATCACCCATATTCCTCAATGCAACGCTATCACATGGTATTACACCTATGTCCCATCCAACTCCACTTCCTATCTACTTTCTCCTACCTTGAAGTCTAACAGCAGTGATCATTCTTTTAATACATGAGCTGCCACAGTGAGCACCATTGATCATCCTTTAAAACATGTTTTGATATCTAGCTTTTAACACTAATCTTTTTTTTTTTTTTTGAGAAAGAGATTTTTGCTATAGGGCGGGTGTGCTTGCCAGAGACAGGAACAAAAAGCGAAAAGTCACGCCCCCTCCCAAAAGGGGGATGACCATGCTGCAATCCCTTCTCCTCCATTCTCCTTTTTTTTTTTTTGAAGAGGTTTTTGCTATAGGGCACGTGTGCTCGCCAGAAAGAGAGACAGAGAGATAGAAAGCGAGAAATCACCCCCCAGGGGGATGGCCACGCCGCAATCCCTTCTCCTCCATTCTCCTCTTGGGATCTTGGGCACGCATGCACATGAGTCCGGCGTGAGTTTAAGCTGCCGGGTCCGGGACGTGAACCATGGTCAACTACATGGGAGTCCTGCGACATAGCCAGTACACTAACTGCTAGTCCCGTCCTCCATTCTCCTATTGGGATTTTGGGCACACAACCATCCACGTCTAGTGAAGCTACAGGGTCCAGGACTCAAATCGCAGTCGGCCATGTGGGAGTCCAGCGACACAACCATTATGCCATCTGCTGGTACCAAGCTATTTACATTAAAATAGGTAAAGCAGGTATAAAGCTAGGTCCATTATTCTATACACATACTAGCATTATTCTTCATCCTTAATTTCTTAAAAACAAACTTTTTTTTTTAGATAATATTGGTTTTTAAAAACTGAACACAAAGTACAAAGAGGGCCAATCCCATAGTTTAGGGGTTAAGGGAGCTGAATCCCACAGACAAAGATCTGAGGGCCAGTCTCAGTGGCTTGAAAACCCTACCAGGTGCATTTGGATTCAAGTCCAAATCCCAAAAGAATGGAGAAATGGAGATGGGATCGTGGCATGACCACGGTCTATTGGGGGATGCTTTTCTGTGTTTTTCTCTTTGTTTAGTACATGTGCCCTCCAGAAATTAAAAACAAACAAATAAACAAAAACCAACTCTTTCCATTCCACCTTCATTTGTTCCTACTATTAATATCTTGTGCTTCTATGAGACATTTGTTACAACTGCTTCATTATTGCTAACTTGAGTCCATAGCTTATGGGGGCTACAGTTTGACAAACACATTACCAGTGTCTACAGAATAATTTCACTACCCTAAAAATTCCCTGTGGCAACCACTGATTTTTTTTTTAACTATCTCTGTAGTTTTGCCTTTTTGTATATATTTATGTGTGGTACAACCGAACATAAAACTTAACCATTTAAGCCATTTTAAAAAGTGCAATTTAGGGAACCAGCAGTTAGCATAATGGCTATGTCGTTGGACTCCCATGTAGTCGACTGCAGTTCTAGTCCCAGACCCGGTGGCTTAAACTCACACCGGGCACGTGAGCATGCATGCCCAAGATCCCGAGAGGAGAATGGAGGAGAAGGGATTGTAGCGTGGCCATCCCCCCTGGGGGGGTGATTTCTCGCTTTCTGTCTCTGTCTGTCTCTGTCTGTATGGCGAGTGCACACGCCCTATAGCAAAAATCCTCTCAAAAAAAAAAAAGAAAAAGAAAAAAAAAGTACAATTTAGTGACATTAAGTGCACTCAATATATTGTGAGGCCATCATCACAATTACTTCCAGTACGTTTTCATCACCACAAACCGAAGCCATGTACCCCTTACACAGTAACTCCTCCCTCGGCCCCAGTCGACCATCCTCTACTCCGCATGGAATCCTACAATGTTTGTCCTTGTCTCTGATCCCAGCTACACTACAGCGCATATCAGTTTCGTTCCTTTTAAGGGTGAATATAGCTGTGTGTTTACACCACGTGTTTCCATCTGCTGACAGACATTTCAATCGCGAATAAGCCTGCTGCCTGCGCCCGAGTCCCTGCGTTCACTTCTAGACCTACTGGATCTTAAGGAAACTGCTCCCACAGCTGCCGGAACGCGCTCCAGTGCCCATTCCCCGTAACTCTCCACTTGGCGTGCTTTTGCTAACTGGCTTAGACGTGCTTGTTCATAACCGCTAGTGATGCTTGCTGCTTAGACGTGCAAGTTTGTAACCGCTCGTGATGCGCAGCATCTTTTCCAGAATTTCGGCCACCTGCATGTTCGCTGGGGAAATGTCTGCTCAAGTCATTTATCAAACGTTTATTTGGGTTGCTTGTTATTGAGCTGCAGTCCTTAAATACCCCGGATATCAAATCTTGGTCAGATTCTCGATTTACAGGGACCAGCAGTTAGCGTGATGGCTCTGTGGCTGGACTCCCACGTGGTCAACCGCGATTCGCGTCCCCAA